TCTACGTCTATACTCACAAAATGGGCGAAACTTAGAATGGCAGAAAATTTCCAAATTTCCTTTGTGTGTGTGTGTGTGCGCGTGTGTGCGTGCGTGCGTTGTTAATGTTCTTTTTAAAATTCTTTAAAGGATAACATTAACAATCAGTGTATCAGGAGTTAATTTATTTAACAAATATGGATTGGGAACCTACTATCCGCCAGTGAAGAAGCTCTCCTGTCTCTTCCACCGTGGGCTTCTTCTCCCGTGAGTCCTCAGCCTTGACCACCAGAGCCTTGAGACACCTGCTGCTGCCACAGAGCTGAGGCCCAAAGAAACGCCCACAGCCCACTTCCTGCACTCTTCCTCGGAGGGTGTGTGACCTGGGTCTGAATGAACTGGAGGAATACAACAAGTTGTTTTACAGATGTATAGCCTCCCCCCCCCCCCCGAAAAACTCATCCTTTTGAACATAAATTATTAGCTTGCTTACCTTCAGGAAATAAAAATAGTCATAATCCTTCCCCTTTGACATCACTTTGAATTACTGTCAGGTGATCCCTGGTCATTGATGCTCTCATTTTCCTCACGCAGACCTGTCACTTTGGGAAGTATACTTTTCCTCCCATAATACGAGAGGCAGGTAGAGATCAGTCCAAATACGAAGTCACATGAGACACAAAGTTGAAGGGACTCGCTGAATAATTCACCTTCTGCACCAACCTCTACACACACACACACACACACACACACACACACACACTCTTTCCTTGAAATTTATGTGAGATTTTAGGGTCTATGGTAAATACTTGGATTTTGGGGGGTTAACTTTTATGGAATGTGGCAAACATTAAAACAAAGCATGACATTAAAAACATGTCGGGGCTATGCCTGCAATATTTTTCCAAGTTTAGACCACTGCATCAAAATCACCTGGAAGAATTGATTTTAGACTCAGCTTCTATTTAAAATTATTTAAAAGTCTATATAAGAGAGCTGTAGAAGTATAAAATAAGATTTCTGGGGGTGGGTGTTATAATTACACCAAAGACTTCTCAGTTTGAATGAGCAGATTGACACAGGCATTCAGACACTGGAAGGCTACCTCTGTGACTGATGCCAGCCATTCCTCCACTCCCAGGAAGCTGCTGATCAGCACTCAGGGCAGCGGCCTTCCCAAGTTTCCTTCAATGCCTTTTCCTTCTCCTCTCCCCCCTCAGCCTTGGTCCTCTCTTAGGATTCTCTATTCAAACGATCTGCATTCTGATTTGCAAATTCTTTCTTTTCTACATCTTTATGTGTTTCTTTTTACTTTTCCCCTCCTCTTCCAGGCTTTTACCAGTTCTCAAAGGAGGACCTTTAGAGGCTATTTCTAAAAACAATTTAGAAAAGGCCTGGCTATATGTTTGTCTTCTTTTCCATGGTCTTCTCACCCTTCTTCCTCCCTGAGTAGAGGAACACAAATGAATGAGACAGACCTAAATGTCACCTTAGCATAGTCCATTCAGGGAGTTCCCAGTTCACTATGCTCCATTGTTGACAATGTTGATGGTGATGATGGTAAGTGTTTCTTTGTGGCTAATGCCATTTTTGGACAGCTTGATAGAAGCTGGAGTGGAAATACACTGGAGGATGAATGAATGAATATAAATGCAATCTCTGTAAATAATGATGGTCTGGAGGAAAAAACAAAGGAATAATTTCCACCATTTAGATTCAAGGGATTAGCTGAATTGAATAAATTAGCCTATTAACATTATAGTATCATAAAACAGAAAGTACTCAATAAATATTTGATGACTGAATAACTGAAAAGTTTGTTTTTGTTTTTCTCATTAAAACATGTGCATCAACAAAGCTAAAAATATGTGGCTCTCCATGTGGGAAAGCCATGATCACTAAAAATCAATCTGCTTCAAATTTCCACAAATTATCAGCTACTCTTTAAGGACTCAGGGATTGTTGACATTAACCTGGATTTCTAGGAAATCAAGATTTGGTTCAAATTGAAAGATGTAAGATTTTATGAACCCAAAGATTTAAAAGGCATTAAAATAAATATTGACTAATCCCTTTGGGAAATGAGTCTAGGATTAGATTATGTTCCTGTGATAAATTAGAACTTCTCAAGAAAATGAATAGAACATCAGGCACATATTAACATCTGTGTTTTATCTGGAAAAATGTAAAGCACAATACTTGCAATTCTTGTTTGCAAAATTTACTCAATTTTATTTAAATATGGTATCATAGAACAGTGCCATGAACACATTGGCACCATTCTATTGCTTTTTTGAGGGGGGGGGGGAATAATGCTCACATCTGAAAATATTTAATCATAAAATGACACCGTTACAAGGATCATTATAAACTTTGTAGGGAAACCCTTGCAGAAGGGAAGGGCTCATAGGGAGACAGGATCCACTCAGGACAAATCCCATGGTTCTCAGCAGAGATGTCTAAGTGCTGGGCCCATAGTTCATATCTTCTCCACAATCTCCTTTTTTTAAAATTCTCACCCGAGAATATTTTTTCTATTGATTTTTTTTAGAAAGAGAGTGGAAGGGATGGAGGAGGGGGAGAGAGAGAGAGAGAGAGAGAGAGAAAGAAACATCAATTGCTTGCCTCCCACACGCCCCGAACGGGCCAGGGATCGAGCATGCAACTGAGGTATGTGCCCTTGACTGGGAATCCACGACCCTTTGGTCTGTGGGCCGACGCTCTAACCACTGAGTGGCCAGCCAGTGCAGCAACCAATTTTTTTTTTTTTTACTGGGCTACTTGAAATCTGAAGTGTTCTGTGGAAGGTGGTAAAATATGATGCTTTGTTTCTCAAACTCTGGCCGCAGAACTGCTGTACATACTCTGAAAAACTGCTGAGGACCCCAGAGAGCTTTGTTTATGTGGCTTATTTCTATGAACAAATGTTTCAAATTAAAATCGTTAAATTTTTTAAGGACAAGAATACACAAACCCACATACTATTAGCCTTAGTGCTGCCATCAGCACGCAGCATGAAGCTTCTGGAAAACTAAACTGTATACTAATGAGAGAATGATAGTAAAACTGTCTTCGTGTCATGAAGATAGTTTTGGCCTTGGAGATGCCCACTGCTGTGATGAGAACCACTGCTATTATGGTACAAATTCTGGCTCTGTCACTTACTAATGTCCAAGCTGCTTAGCCTCACTAGGATTCAGTTTTTTCGTCTCAAAATGTGTACAACAGTGTCTATCTTGTAGGTTTAAGGTTAGTATTCAATGAAATAATGTGTATCAGTACCGTTGCATACTTCAGGGTAAGCAGTCAGTACTGGGAGCTGTTAGTAAATGGGGTTTGTATGTAACTGGGAAGTCCTAGCTTATCTGTGCCCAGCGGGTATTACATCATCAGTCCTACTCGGGCCCTATCCAGCTGGTTCTTCCATCTCCATGATTTCCACCCATTTCTGAATAAAGTAATATGGTTTAAATAAAAATGCCAGTTTTCTAAAGTGTCTGTGACTGAGCAGAGGAAGAAGATAACTTAATAGTTATTTAATACTTTTGGAATTTCTCAGGCATTTTGATTGATTAAAGAGGAAGACTGACATTTTATTGACATGACTCAATTTTCAGCAATAAAATATATTTGCACAGAATGACCTACTCTATATAAAGATGGTATTTGTGCAAAGGAAGAATTGGGCGCAAAAGCTGTTACAACAACTATGACTAAAGTTACTATCTCTGATCTCCAAAACAGATTTTCAGGCATAAGCTAATGTAACTTATTTCTGGCCCCTTTTAAATGCTGACATTCCAATGAGACAGAGAGTTGGGAATTTGCGGAGACCTGATTTGGTTCAATGACTTATGAATAGCGACTGTTTGTGGGGTAGGGTATATTTTGTAAGAAAATGTCTTGAAATATATGCAAGAGATATGTAGGTCTAAAATTAATCTTGGATCTATGTGCAATTAAGCATAATGTGATAATATTTGCAATTGAAATCCCTAGGAGTACCTTCTTATTCTTGCTGTTAATAAGGCGTCCATTTCATTAATTTGGTCACCAAAGACCTATGTTTCTATATGTTAGGGATTGACATATTAGGACTGAAATGTCCACAGAAAGTGAATTGGAGGGAAGAGACAAGGGTTACAAAAGTATCTAACTTTTTCCTTTTTGAGGAAGTGAAAAAAAAAAAAGAGACAAGTCAAAAGGCACCTGAAGCTTTTTCTCTACAGCAATGTCTATGGCAGTGGTTCTTAACCTTGGCTGCACATTAGAATCACCTGGGAATCTTTTTAAAATCCTGATTTCTGGGCCCCATCCTCCGGAAATTCTGTTTCTTTGTTACTAATGTTGTGGCCCCATCCCTTAACAAAGAAACAGAATTTCCGGAGGATGAGGCCCAGAAATCAGGATTTTAAAAAGATTCCCAGGTGATTCTAATGTGCAGCCAAGGTTGAGAACCACTGGTCTATGGTGTGTCAACTAAACTTCTCACTTCTATGGAATCTCTCCATGGAAACTGAGGGTTAGCATTGGAGCCTGACTCGGCAAGACTTAGGGCCACCTGCCAGATGAGCATGGGAGGTCTACTGTGCTCAGAGAGCTTCGGTAGGGAATGAATGTGACTTGATTCTATTGATCGAAACATCCATATTCCAAGTCACATGGATGAACCTTGGATGAGGACATTTTGCTAGGTGAAATACACCAGTCACAGATGGATAAATACTACACTACAGGATTCCGCTAATATGAGGTGTCTAAAAGAGTCACATGCATGGAATCAAAGAGAGGAATGGTGGTGGCCAGGGGCTGGAGTGAGAGGGAATTGGAGAGTTGCTAATCGTTGGGGAATAAAATTTCAGGTAAGCAAGGTAATTAAGTTCCAGAAATCTGCTGTAAAGCACTGTATCTATGCTTAACAATAGGTATTACACACTTAGACATTTGTTAGAGGGAAAAGTGTTCTTACTACCATAAAATAAATAAGTTCTTTAAACTACTCTTTTCTCTGAACCTTGCAGATATATGTCCCGGCTCCTGAATATAACAGGCAGCATTGTCAGACCTGAGGCACACGGCTGCAGGGCTTTTTCTGAGATCTGTAACCAGGTATGAACGACCCAGGAAAATCCTGACTAGTTTCCCTGGTATGTGTCAGAGCCGTTTATGTAGAACCCCCAACTAGCTGTGAATTATTGAAGCAGAATCTTCCCGGTGAGATTTGAGAGGACATCTTGTGAGTCTTAAAAGCAAAATGCCAGTGTTTGCTGTTATCCTACTTGTTTTTAGATAAATCTGCAATAGCAGGAAAAACAAGACTCTGGCCAACAATGAAGAGGGTCAATAGGGAGCTACTTCAGGCGAGGAGCCTAAAAGGACCCCTGCCAGGGGCTCCAGATGTTTCCTCTCGCCTTGCCTCATCTCTTCAGTTTTATCTGTCTTGCACTCTTGCCAATTTCTTCTACCTAACTGCACACTTCCCCAACCCGACCAATAAATACTCTCTGTCATGTCCTTAAATAAGTCAGAGGCTAAGAATTGAGAAAGGACCTGTTGACAGAAGGGTTCACCACGCTCCAAGCAGAATCTACTTCTCCACAAGTGTAAAAACACATCCTTATCTGTTCTCAACTCACTGAATGATATTTCCATGCCATCTCCAGAAGGTGTTTGCGTGCCCATGCCAATGGTCTTTCTGAAGTCATGGAGTGAAAAGAGAATTTTCCCCAGAGGGCAGAAGAGTCTGTATGTTGGAGCCAACCAGACGTTTCCCAGGCTCCGGTGTCGTCCTGTTCGCCAGCAATGAGCAGATGTTAGCTTCTTCTGATGCACAAGGAAGAAGAGTGCAATGCGCTCACCATCCTGATGTCATCTCCGATTGTTATTTTTACTGTTCTTCTAAATAATAGGGTTTCTGGCATGAAGACTTATCTCAGGATTCAGCCCAGCAGTGTTCTGAGATCCCGGGCCCCGACGCTGATAGATTTATGCAGGTTGTGATTCTCTGACTAATTTGCTTTGAATGAAGTGAACACTTGGAAAAACCAAAATGTTATTTCCAAGATTTTACATCCTAACGGGAAATACAACAGGAAATAGAGAAAAAAAATTATTTTTCACTTCTGACTGTCAAAATGGACTTTTTGTTTGTCGTTTAAATTAATTGGAAAAAAAAAAAAGATAACCCAGTTATACTTCTTCCTTCTTTACACAAAAATTGCAAGACCTTGCGATACTGTTTCTTCCCCTTTTGCTCACATAAGTGATTTTAAACATTCTCCATGTGGCTGGAAACGGAATGATTTCATGGCTTCCCTGTTGTGCTATGTGAATGTGTAGGTTAGTGCTGTTGCTCTGCACGTCTCTGCACACTTCTATTAAGGAGCCCAGAACTGAACCTCTTTCCAAGGAGGTCACAACAGGGGAGGTCACCTGGAAACCCAGGACCAGAGGCAAATGCCATTCCTGACTGTCTCCTCCTTTACTCCTGCGTGGCAATGCCCGTCCCCCGAGGAGGAATGGTGATCCTGACTTCACAGATGAGGAAACTTTGGTGGGGGTGGCTGGGTAACCTGTCTAAAGGAACAGAACCAGTAAGTGAGGAACCCCCGTCTGACCACTTGCTGGAATCATTCATTGCTTCGAGTACTGCATTACAGCCCCGTGAGAGGTGGTGGGGGGAGTTCTGAGGACCAGAAGTTAGTGTTGGTCTGGACATTTGGATGAGATGAGGTAAAACCTGTGGGAGGCTTTGGATGAGTTTCTGCAATAAAATTATCTTTTTCTGATTCTTCAGCCCAAAAAGTTTCTCAAATAGACCCAACTCCAAGGGGCTTGCCCTCCCTTCCCTGGCTCTGTCAGGGATGGCCCTCTGTAGGGTCTCAGTGGGGAGCAGCTCCCTGCAGTTCCCCCACCAGGGGAAGGATGAGGGGAAGGACGAGGCTGCCCGGCTGCCGCTGACCGAGACCCAGCAGTCCATATATTCCCCACCACCTGCAGGCTTCCCTTTCTTCACTTCAGCCAGTTTTCTTCTAACTCTGGGTGTTGGCGAAAAGGAAGAAGAAGACGTGATTGAAAACTGGGTCACACGTCCCATCAGCATGCCGGAAGCACTCACAGGCACTCAGTATGATCTTTAAGAACTTCAGTAGATCTGTACTTGGAAATGATCCTTTAGTTATTCTGTTCCCTTAAAAAATAGGATTGTTTGCATGAGCAAGTCACACAAACTCTCCAGGCCTCACAGTCACCTAAACATTGAAATGGAGAGGGTGACTAACATAAAATTTTTAAAATGAGGGTATGCACAATCCAAGGTACATATATATTAAGGCCAGAACATAGAAACAAGTTGATGGTGCCGACCAAAAGCTCTTCAAGGGCAGGGACCACCTCTCTAATTTCGTTTGATTCCTCTAATGCTTGGTGCTTAGCGCCGAGCAGGTGTCCCTAAGCCTTCTTGGCTGTCGAGCCAAGTGCTAAGATGCAGAAGCTTTATTTGTCCACACCAATCTGTGCTGGGGGCCTTCCCTGCCAAAAGGGGCCAGTGAATTAAAGATTCCATAATTAGACACCGTGCTGCCCCGGGCACTCTGTCCCTGCTCGTCAGTGTCCCCGCGATGGTGCGTGACAGTTGCCGGTCTCTCTGGGCCACCTGTTCAGCTGTTAGGAATGTTAATTTTACTTTATTTTTATTCTTGACAGAGGAAGACACATTATTCAAGCCCATTGAAGAAGGGCTGCCACTTAAAACTCAAGAGAGGGATTATTCCCCCCTTCAACTGCAAGTCATGGGCGGGACAGTGTAAATGACAAAACTGAGAAAAGGCCAGTCTGCCTGTGAAAATCAAATACAGGCAGTGTCAATAGTCTGAAAAGGGACTATATGCTTGGTTCCTTTATTGGGTACTTAGTATTAGTGTCCCAAATCTTGTGTAGGACATGTTATTATCCCACTATCTCTTCACTAAACTCCCACGACAAAGCCAGTACATTTTAGAAATGAGAAAGTAGGTTCAGAGAGATAAAACAGCTTGCCCAAGGTCAAGGAAATGGTAACTGGTGAGCAGTAGTCTCTCTGATCCCTTTAATTACTATCCTCTCCTCTCTCCCGCAGCCCCTCCCATTTAAAAAAAAGATTTTTTATTGATTTTTACTGAGAGAGAAAGGGAGAGGGAGAGAGAGAAACATCAATCCGCTGCCCCTATCCCCACCCCCTGTCACCCCTACCAGGGATCCAGCCTGCAACACCGGGCTTGAACCAGAAACTCCCAACCAACTGAGCCACACCTCCCGTTCTGTATGTAGGGAGGGAGCAGGCTTTGGTGTGTTTCTCCTGCTTTCTCCTGGTCTACAGTTTGTGCTGAACAGATAGGTTAGTAGTTTTCTGAAAAACATATTCTGATTGTTTTGTTTGTAGGGTTCTAGAACAGCCGTGGGCAAACTACGGCCCGCGGGCCTGGATCGGGCCCGTTTGAAATGAATAAAACTAAAAAAAAAAAAAGACCGTACCCTTTTATGTAATGATGTTTACTTTGAATTTATATTAGTTCACACAAACACTCCATCCATGCTTTTGTTCCGGCCCTCCGGTCCAGTTTAAGAACCCATTGTGGCCCTCGAGTCAAAAAGTTTGCCCACCCCTGTTCTAGAAGCTGGAGGTATTTCGTAATTTTTTCTCAAGTGCTCACCTCTTCCAGTTCTGTTACTTTAAAGAAAGAAAAGGAGCCAGGACTGGGAATAATAGCAATCACAAAGACATCTCCATGTCTGTAGTTAGTGGTTATTGTTTCACTTGATCCTTATCACACACCCCGGGAGGCAAGTGGGGCAGCGTGGCTGAATCTCATTTTACAGACAAGGAAGGGAAGCCTGTGTTCTAAGGAACATACATGTGCAGGATCACTCAGATGGTGAGGAAAAGTCCATACTCAAATCCAGATCATTGACCCAAAGTTTGAGATGCTTGAAAATACAGGAGAGTTGTGGTTTCAATACTCAGTTCCCAGAGATTTCTAGAGGATTTGGGGCCACTAGCAACCCAATTTCATCCCACTTCCCCACCATTCCCAACTCTACTAGTAAACCTGGTTGTCAGTCCTGACCCAAGCAACTGTGGGGCTGGCAGGCAGCTCAGAGCAATGAAGGCCTTAGGCTCCATGGGAATTCCAACATTCGGGAGAGGCCCCAAAGAGCAGAGAAAGAGATAACGTGGATAAGGACACTCTCAGCCAAATAGGTGAAGATCAAACAAACAAGTAGAGAAGCCTGGGAGATATTTGCTGACTTTAGTGAAGAAAATAAGACTACCTAAGGCAGCGGTTCTCAACCTGTGGACCGCGACCCCTTTGGCGGTCGAACGACCCTTTCACAGGGGTCGCCTAAGACCATCCTGCATATCAGATATTTACATGACGATTCATAACAGTAGCAACATTACAGTTATGAAGTAGCAACGAAAATAATTTTATGGTTGGGTCACAACATCAGGAACTGTATTTAAAGGGCCAGAAGGTTGAGAACCACTGACCTAAGGGGATTCAAGGGTAAACAAACAAACAAAACAAAAAAACGCTTTCCAACTAAAAACTGAGATTTGTAAACTAAAATACTCAGTACAGAATTTGAAGGAGAGAATGAACACTGCTAAGATTCAAATGAATAAGACCAAGTGGGGAAAAAAAGAAAACAAAGCCAAACACCCAAAACAACAAAAAAAAAAACCCCAAATAAACAAAAACACAAAAGGAAAGAAAATTATGAGGAAAAAGATCCTGGATGGTCAAGAAATCTAAGAGGGAACCAACCTGGACTAGCACATGGAGTTCAGATCAGTAATGATGGACAGGTTATTAATTTGACTTGTTTCTATGTAGTGAACGTTATGTGTGTGTATGTGTGTGTGTGTGTGTGTGTGTGTGTGTGTGTGTATAATTTTATAGTCTAAGGTATAAAGAGACACATTTGGGGAGAAACACATATGTATATCATACACAGTTTGTATTACTCTATGTGAGTATACGTGTATATATATATTTGCCCCCCTCTCCCCCATGTCTTTGTCTCTACGTTAAGCTTTAAGTTTAAAGGCAAGATCTGTATGGCTGTGTTCTGTGGTGGCTAGAGAGGTATTGAGTTTTGATGACTGATTAACTTTTGCCTTTCTGTTTCATTTCTTTCTCTTTGTACTCTGGCCAGAACTTTAGGCTCTTGACAAATACTTGTTGAATATGGGCTGCTTAGGGAGGAAAAGAAACTATGAGAAATGATCTTGGGGGGGGGAGGTGAGGGTGGGAGTGCCTAAGTTTTTCCCAGCTCAGCTGCTTCCAGGCAAAGTTGTGAAATGGTCCTTGGTTCTGCATCCACCTGTCCATCCACCCCCACCTCCGGACTTGGCAGCTCCTCCTTTATCTTGCTCTCTCTGTCAAGAGTCCCCCATCCAAAAGGGCACCAATCATTGTTTTCATATGTGAACCCTCCAGGAGCAGTTTGTGATCATTCTTTTGGTTCAAATCTGAAAAAAAACAAAACAAAAACCTTCAAAGAACTACTTCTCTTTAAAGAGATAAAACTTCAGTTATTATCAGGCTATGAAAGAAAGTATTTGGGTTCAGCAGAGCCTCTCATGAGCTCCTCAAACAACAGGGATTGGCCCACAGAAGAATTATTAAATAAGAAACACCAGCAAGTTGGAAAGGCAGACTCATTCAGCCCACGGGACAAAGGCACTGAGCCCACCATCTGCAGTTTGGGTGGAGTGTTATCAAACAGAAATTCATCCACCGGGTGCTAGCAAGGCCACACACGAACCACGAGAATTTCAGTGGAGGAAGTTTGGCTATTTTATTAGGAATGGTGCCACCCAGGAAATGGGAAGTTAATGCTCAAAAGCTGGAACTCCGAGTGTAGGTTACAGATCATGTAGGGCAACATCATGCAATGCTGTAGATCAGGAATTCAGTGTCGTGCTGGGAGCCGATTGGTTGGAGGTCAGGGTAATGAGTCATTTCTCCAGGCCTTGAGGACAGCTCTGAGGTCTGTTCCGGTGTCCCTCTGTCCCAGCTCATGGGAAAGTAGCCAGGGATCGTTCCACCTTAGGGCTGAGGAACTGAAACATAACTTAGGTCAAGATGTTATCTTCAGCCGGCAGAGGTCCAGTCCATTAGCAAGGGCCAGGCTGCCTGTCCTCTGCAGCCTCGGAGGTTATTGATTATCTGGGGGAAAGGTTGGGTCCCTAAGGAGTAGAGACAGAAAGAGAGAGAGAATATTTGTAGAGCTCGGATTTAAAGCTAAATGTAATCAAAGCCAATAATGACCCACAGCTTCTCATCCAGAAAGCTAATCACAGCCAGATGTTGGGTGAAATTTCCTTTCTGCCTCCCACCCAACTTACCCAGTTCTAGAGTAGCAAACCATGTGTAAAATGCTCTGCTTCTTTAAAATGGACTCAAGAAAGGGCAGCCAGAGGAGCACACAGCCCGTATGGAGGAGTATTCAACCTGGAGAAACTGAGCAGAAAGAAAAGTGAGCAAACAGCCAAGAGGCCTTCCCATTAGTATTAATTTAGGCATCAAAGTGAAACCTGACAGCACAATGAAAGCAGTAGTCAAAGACCTTGGTTGTAAGAACAGAGGAGAATCAGGCAGAATTAAAGAGCTGGAAAACTCACAGTGTGGGGGGGCTTCCCCAGAACCAGGCATGACTAGGAGGGGGGATGAGGGTGAGCTGCCAGGGAGGCGGGAGCAGGTGCAGGGCCTGCGAAGGGCCCTGTGTCTGAGACCAAGTGGCACTGCATTGTCTGCAGAGTTCCTTGCACCCAGATCAACGTGGGAGACGGGGAGATTGAGGAGGCGAGGGGCCTGCAAAGTGGGGCCCCAGTGCCTGCTCTCTCTTCACTTGCCTCCCAGATGGTTGTTCGGCCTAAAGAGAGGGGTGAATGTTTGTTTGTATGAAGTTAGGTCCACTTATAGTTGAGCCTTAACTGATGGTAATTTCTCTTTGCTTCTTCTCAAGACATTTAAAGTTTAGAAGTAACAGTCTCCCCTTCACCAAACTTGAGTCAAACTCCTCTGAATTGCCTTCCCAAGCAGGCCTCCTCCTCTTTTGGACTTGAGTGTCTGTCTGTTTTTTTGTGTTGTTTTTTTTTTATGAGATAGAAGTTTTATTGTATTGTGTTCTGCATGTCTGTTTTTAACAAGAATTCTGTCAAGTTGATTTAGCAGAACTCCCCTCTCCTTGCTATTGATCATCTTCGATATCAGACCCATTTCCTTATTCCCTCCCCTCCCCAGGTGATGTATGATCACCCTGGTCTGCCTAAAGCAAGAATCTTGTTAGGTTGATTTAGCCAGAATCCCCCTTATTCCTTATGTTTTCTCTTAGTAATTTTCTATCCACAGACCATAAGCCCCCACCCCCTCTGCTCCTATTGCATTCCACATTGCATTCTGAGTGTTGCATTCATGTTCCCCTTGAATCACCTGGAGCGGTCTAAAAGAATGCTGATGCCTGGGTCCCTACAAGATTCTCATTTAAGTGGTCTGCATGTGACATGGGCAATGGAGAGTTTTAATATATTTTTATTGATTTCAGAGAGGAAGGGAGAGGAGGGAGAGAGAGAAACATCAATGATGAGAGAGAATTATTGATTGGCTGCCTCCTGCACGCCCTCTACTGGGGATCAAGCCCGCAACTCCAGCATGTGCCCTTGACCAGAATCAAACCCGGGACCCTTCAGTCCGCAGGCCAATGCTCTATTGGATTGCCAAACCAGCTAGGGCGGGCATGGAGAGTTTTAAAAGCTCTCTCCTATTACAAAACACTAATGCAAGACCTGCAAAATCCTAGTATCTGTCCTAGTTGTTCCCTGATGAAGTCTGCCCTATTGTTTTAATAAGTGTCGTGAATAATTTTTTCTTTGAGAGAAGAGAGGGTCAGTATTTTCTGATAATCTGAGAAAGAGCAAAAGCAAGTGAACTGAAATCAGGCATCCAAGAAATCATTTGAAATGTATCATTCAGATTCAAGGTTGTGCTTTACTCTGTTGGCACTGTTCTCTTCTCTCTTCTTCTCCCCCTTTCAATCCTCTACCTCCATGAGCTTCCAAATGTGGATAATTCATAAATGCAAAATTTTGAAGATGAAGTCAGACTTTTGAAGCCTAGTTTAGGCCTTCGTTACGTCTCTCCTAGATCAGTGCTTCCATGCAATATGAATTATAATGTGCATTCATGTTGCATGGAGTCTTACAGTTGCCAGCCCCTTAGCAATAGCACTGGGTGTTTGCTAAAATGGCACTCAACAATTGTTAGTAAACTAAATGCAACTCAGGTAAGCCTCTTGCAACATGTAAGTGTTAGGATTTAAATTTATGACCATACTTCTCATATTTCTCTGCTGGTGACCCTTCATTCCTTCTGAGGGTTCAGTCAGGCCAGATTTCAGAGTGACTCTCC